TTTAGTTGTATATAACTTTCTTCGTACAAGGTTATTACAACTATATGAGAGATTTAATTTCTAGATGTGTAGTTTTAAAGCTAAAATATGAAAGACATTCTGAAGAAGGAAGAATCCTTGCAAATTGTTGACCATGTTACATACATTGAAATTCAGTGTAGTCCATTTAAATATCCTTTGAATTCATAAGTCCGACTGAAAGAATGCGAAGATGTTTCCTCAAGGATATTTAGCACTGATCTTGCAAGTATTTACACACAGTAGTAATTGCACTGTCTCCTTTGCAACTGGTACATTGCTTCCGGTACTGTGTGTCAGCACGGGATGGTATCCTCATCCCATGAGGAGTTCTTGAAGTGGTGAGTACTCCTGTCCATGCGGAGTGGTTGCAGTCATGCTGTTACTCCGTCCCTTGTGACAGGGTGCAAGTTAACCAGCTCTTGGCAGTCAGCCTTCTCAAGACTCATTCTGAGAACATCTTTTTAGAGCTGTTTTAGGGAACAGACAAAATCTCATTATTCATCTTACTGAAAATTGCCCAGTGAACGCAAACATCTATCTCTCAGCTATACCATAAGAAGGCTATATGAAATTGAATGGCTTGAGTAGTGTTTTTCTGGAAGAAGCAGATCTTGAGGTACTGAGTCTTTGACATTAGCACCCAACACCCTGCACAAGCTCTTAGCACAGGTTCTAGGAGACAAATTGTCAAAAGCAAAATGATACGAGAAGTGATTTTGAAAGTCTTCAAAACCAGAAGACCTCTTTCCCAACTTTGAAAATTTTGAAATATAATTGAATAACTTTTTTTTTTTTTTTTAATTTTTAAATTAACTGTATGGCTGTCATTGAACTTTTTTTCTTTTTGGTAGTCCATTTTTTAATGCAGGCTGGTTTGTGAAGAATAGACACTGCGTTTACCCCGGAGAACAAGTCTGGAGTTTGCCAAGCCTTGATCTATTCTATATCTTTCCAATCAACTGTAGATGTCTGGAGAACAGTGTAGGTCTAAAGCCATACAGTGGTGATATTTTTCTGGTATATTGCTTTAGTTGACAGTGACCACTGATTCAGGGATTCTGAAGGAAGGTATCTACTGTATTAGTATATAATAGCACTTGAAAGCACTTTTTCTTCCAAGAAACTATTTACTCATTTTTGAGCCCGTGTAGATAAAGTTTCATGAACATAACTATAGTTATCATTCATATATTTCAGTTAAATAAGAGAAACAAAATAATATTCCATGCTGCTTTGTGTTTCTGGCACAGTCTGGATCATTACGTTGATATCTCTTGGTTTAAGAGTTATTTTTGCTCCTTCATTCGGCACCTTGATTCTTCATCTTGTTTTGCTCATTTGACAAACAGAAAGGCATTTTAGTGAAAGCTTTTCTAGAACTCCAGAATTTATAAGACGTCTTATCTACTGCTTTGTGTCATCTTGAAGCTTGCTGCATGGGATGATGACTTTGTCAGGAAGCTGCTGTCTTCTTGCTTTAAAAGTTAAACTTCCTTCTTCCTTGATCCCTTTTTCCAATTTGATTCACTTTCCGTGGACACAAATAATGTTGCTTCTGTTGATCTCAGCATGAACTAGGTCATATCACTGCTTAGGAAGACCTATTTCTGTGCTAGCAGATAGCTGCTGTGAAGCAATGAGTGATGACGTACTCACTGCTGCTATTAATGTATACAGTAAGACTCATGAATGGAAGCAGAAAATTTTTGTTCTCCTATAAAAAAAAATAATCTTTTTCTAATGAAGGAGAGACTAGTACTTGAAAGAGACTACGGAGGAAAAAAGCTGACATTATCTGTTGTATTTAGCATAATTTGGAAGCATCTTAATGGCCGTCTAGTGTATTTCTAGTGAGTTGTGGGCACAGGGGTCTTTTGGGGACTTGAAGTTTTGGAGGCTTTGGGTGGAGAAGATAAGTAGAAGAAGGGGGTGTCTGAAGGCATCATGAGGACAATTGAGATGTCTTGGTACTGGCCCCAAGAGAACTCCAGGAGCCTACCTGTAAGATGTAGTAAAGCCATAATTCGCTCCAAAGATGAAGTGGAAGTAATGGGAAAAATAGGATGTTGCTGTTACTTGTAGTGGAGCCAAGTGTCTGGGGCTGCAGAGTGGGCATATATCTGTAATTTCAATATTTTGACTATGCCAGAGAGAGGCCAAAGATTTAAATCTGAACGTGAAAGCCTGCATGCCCCAATTTGTGCTTAACATTCACCAGCCTACACATAATGATGATTAAATTATCATCTATTTACCTTCAGGGAAAGCTTTTAAAATTTTATTAATCTAAACAGCCGTTTCTTCATTAAGTCACTTCAGCTGCAGAAGCAGTTATCTTCTATACGTTATATACGGGTATAATAGTAACCACAGTTACTGAAGTTTACCACACAAAGAGAGGCACGTGCTAAGTGTTTGTGCATCTGGTCTATAATAGGTACCTATATATAGTTAATATTTAATCTCCTTCTCAATATGCTTCTATGTTTTTAGGCTTGTGAGCAAGGTTTTCTAAAGCCTGCTGAGCCTTGCAATGCATAAAACCTTCTTTAGGGGTGTGTGTGAGTGGGAGGGTGAGGGAATTGTGTATTACTGAGCAATAAGCTGAAGATGGCAGCATTGGGTGAGCTATCTCATTTTCTTAGCTAAGTAGCGCTCTCTTAAAATACAGTAATTGTAGCTGTTGTGTATGGCAAACTTATTAAAAAAATAAGCTTTTCATTTAAAGGGCTTTTTAAAATACTACAGCTTAATACCACAAGTTAGTGCAAGGTAGGTGTTTTATCATCAGTCCTCCCAGGTGAGGACAAAGTTATAGCCACTCTGACAGATCTGTAATAGACAAACACCAGACTCCCCCTTTTTAGCTGTTGTTTGCTTTCAGACTGAAAATGACTGTGATCACTGTGCTTTATGAGCAGCCCAGTCCTGCTGTATATCTGTCACGATGTTTGTGTTCACCACACTGGTTCTTTTAAGAGAGCTGAGGGGGCTAATTCAAACATGCTCGTGGGGTTTAAGTATGAAGCTGAACAGTTCGTTGCTGACAGTGACAGCATGTACAGAACCAGGTCTGCAGCCCCCCGAAGGTTTTTTTGGCAAAAACTCAGTTAATATTCTTCAAGGTGGCAGTTTCACTCAGTGATGCCTATGTTGTTTTGTGTATCTGGTTGTTTGTTCCTCAGATGTCTTTTTTGAAAACCATTTGTTTTGGCATCAGCTAATTGTACTTAGTGAACAATTAGATGCCAGCATGGCTTACGCAAGTCAATAGCAAAGTCAGAAGTGGAACTTTGGTTTCTTGTTTGACAGTGTTGTGCTTTTCAACTCCTCTTGTGAATATCTATGCTTTGACTGCTGTACTGGAACCTAACCTAAGGCATCTTAAGTCACTACAACCTTTCCTTCTTCATAGATGACTTTGCAGGTTTAGATCAGACACAGGGCTCATGTTTTTATTCTTTTTTATCATGTTTTTCTCCACAGTGCTATGCTGGCTCTACAGGAACTTTTATAAGAGGCAGAGAAATGAATCATATCACAATTTCTAAACATTTATTGAATTTAAAAGAGCTGCTAATTACTGCTCTTTTGCATTTAGGATGGAGAGAGTCTAGAGGAGAGGAGTTTGTAAGAAAAGTAGGAAGTGGCAAAAAAACCAAAAATCATCTGCTTAGGATTTGTCTTTAAGATATGCAGAAAATGTTAAGATTTAGTATCAAATGCTGAGTTGAAGCCTATCCTAAAAAGAAATATAAGCTTCGCCTGTTACATAGTTAATTGAAACTGCAGAGTAAATTCATATTTCATGCAAAACTGTGTAAAGCTCTTGGTTTCAGTGGAGCTGTATTCCTATGCACAGATACTGAAATTGTCAGATAATGTAATAAATGTTTTCACATGTGCACACAAATGGTATGTATGTGTATATATCTGCATGCAGAATTTTTGTAGAAGTTGATTTACAGTTTCCTAAAACCCTTATATGTAGGAATAATTACTAACAATCTCATCTGTTTGATCTGGCATCAAAAACAATCTTGCTGCATTATAATAACGCCAATCGAAAGCTCAGTACCATAGGAGCAGATGTGATTGTTGTCTTCTGGTTTTATTGGATACTGAACTATCTGTACTTCTTACAGTCTGCCTAACGTTTCACTTTGAATACAGCAACTTAGATGCATTACTGTTAATGTTGACTTAACTGATGTCTTTCACAGTTCTCACCAGCTCAGATATGTCAGCTGCCTACTGGTGACACAGGTTGAAAGTACACCTAGAGAACAATTGTAATGGATGAGCCAACTAAATTTGCTGTACTGTACTTATTATATATTTGCTGTACTTACTTATTACTGACTGTAATTTTCTTTCTGTCATTTAAGATGCCAAGTGGCATATTAGTTCTTCATTTATAATGAAGTAAAATTTAGTGAGAAGTATGACATAGTCTCAAGAAGTTCATTCTAACACAGGACAGCACTTAGATACATGCCAATCTTGAGTGCTCTGAACTAGATTTTGGAGATCTTCAGAGGTTCTTAGACAGGCAGACCAAATACCTTGGAGGATTTTCTTTTAAAGCGGTTCTCTTATTTCAGAAAGTGTCAGAAGTCTCTGCACAATTGTCTCTGCCTTTCATAGCTAAATCATCATAGGATCATGGAATCATAGAATGGCTTGGGTTGGAAGGGACCTCAAAGATCATGAGCTCCAACCCCCTTGCTGCAAGCAGGCCCACCAACCTCCATAGTTAATAGTAGACCAGGCTGCCCAGGGCCCCATCCAACCTGGCTGCTCTTACCTGTCTGTTCCTAAATGACATTTAAATTACTGTATCTGATTTTACATTAAAGACATGAAATTCTGAAAAAGTGGGGCAATTAAGTGAATATGGCGCCAATTGTCATGGCTGAAATGCTTTTTTTTTTTTTTAATCCACACTGTATATATCTGTATATCTGTATATTTTGCAGTGCTATTTTTTTACGATTGAATTTGGTCTTTGCAAGCAAGAAGGACAGCTGCGTGCTTATGGGGCAGGACTTCTGTCTTCTATTGGAGAACTAAAGGTATGTTGATTGATATGCTCTTAAAGCAGAATCAAGTTTCTTTTAATGATAATACAATTATAATTGGATGCAAATATTTTGATTTGAAAATAACAGTTAAACTTATCAAGATGAAAAGCTTCCTTTTAAATGTGATACTGAGCTGAAAAATTCATTTGACATATCAGCTGGCACCTGAAGCATGAAATGGATTCGTAAGGACTGAAGTACCAAAGTAACAGTAAGCTACAAAACTTATTTCTGTTTGAAATTTAAGAAATAACTAGCCTGTGAGACGCTTGAATTGTGGGTAAATGGAGGCTCAGTTAAGGGTATACTGGGTTCTGAAAACTTTACTTAGAAGAGAAGCATATGTTTTTTTGTAGGTGAAAAAACTGTTTTGAAATGAGACACAAGTCTGTTAAAAGTAATGCAAAATATTGCAGTGGATTTGTTATTGATATTAAAAGAACATTTATTAAGGTCTTGATTCAGTAGATTATTTGTTTTTAAAATTAAGGAATGCATGTAAGCTCATACTAGACTTGTAGTATATGCCTGTGTTGCAATACACAGAGACTTATAAAGACAAAAGTCTTTGACCTTTCATGGTGAGTAACTGCAGTAGATCAGTTATTACCTATTTTTAGGCATAGTGAACAAGCAAAAGGTATTTTGTCACAAGTTTAATATTTTGAGATGTAACACACCTCACTGTTAGTACAAACGAAGGGAAGAGGAGGGAATGCCATGTTTATTCTGGGACCCAGGTGAACTTTTGATGGCTTTTGTTTAAAAAATTGGTTTCAAAAAGCATATGAAGAATAGTGTTTACACACTGTTTTGCAATATATCTCCTGTTCATTTGCATTTGAGCATCTTTCCACCCATTTTCAGTAAAGTACCTGGCATTTTAATAGAAGTATCTCAGTCTCTTTTTACTGTTTTACCTGTAATTGAGAATATTAATGCTGGAGCTCAGTAGTTAGATTGCTATTCTTTTATTAATAAACCTGTATAAGGGGGTTAAAGAAAGACATAGAAAAAAGGTCAAAGAAAATTATTTTCTCCAGTACATATATATTTTTAATTTGATTTCATTATAGTTGTTCTCAGTTCAATGCCTACTTCAGCCACAGGAGCATTCAGTATCAGTATGGAACTGTTGTACACAGTGCAAAAGATGTTTAAACACAAAGATGAAAATATCCCACTTGTTTTTTTCCCTGCCCAACAACATTCAGTGTGATCTCCAAACTGCGCAGGTTTCTGCAGAGAATCAGGGTTTTTAGTTAAACTAACAGTTACAGCCTTTAAGTGATGACCCTGAAAATACCTGCCACATCATTTACAAAATCTGAAGGCATAAAAGCAGAGAAATAAATAGTCAAGAGCATAATAAATCTTGTACCATCAATGTCAAAAACAAACACATTATTCTTATGGAGTGTACATATTCTGTTACCACACAGAAATCTTAACTGTGATCCCAGTTCTCTGTTCCTCACTCAGCAATAATCTCAGAGTGTAAATGCAAAGAATAATCCTTTTGAAAAGCAACAGCAAAAATTAAATAAGGCGTACGTTAATGGAGTGTACTGATTGGCTTTAAAGGTTAGGCTACATATCATAATAATTTTGCCATATATCAAAAATACTATACAATTTTCTATTACATTACATTTATATTTCATAGATCTTAAGCCAGAAGGGACTATTAGATCATCTGGTTTGACCTCTTGTGTATCATAAGCTGTTAAGTTTCATCCATATCTTGAACGCACTGCACACAGTTAGACTGAAACATTCCAGTTATTGAGAGACTGAGTACTTGTGTGCTGCAGGCACAGAACACCACCGTACCACAGATGCCCACAGAGTCCATAAAGGGACTGATAAGGTGAAAAACGTCCAATTTTTGTGAAACTGTGCTCTAAAGCGGAAGTGAAAGTAAGAGGGGAAGGGAAAAAACAAGGCAAAATAAGTTTTCTGCTAATCTGACAAAGGGAGGAGCTCTTTCTAGAACAGAAACCTGGTGCTGAATATGCTTCTTGTCAACGAGATGTATCAGCCAGGCCCGTAGGAAAAAGAATTTCTGGGCACACACTCACAGCTCTGTTGCAGAGCCTCGCATCAAGCCATTACTGGTCTCTGACTTTTCACCAGAAAGCAACTTCCCATACCTCTGCCCTTATCTCCAAGCACCCACTGGGAGGAAAAATTTCTTCCTTGATCTGAAGATCGTAGAATGGTTTAGGTTGGAAGGGACATTATAGCCCACCCAGCTCCAACACTCTGCTATGGGCTGGTTGCCACCCAGCAGCTCAGGTTGTCCACGGCCCTATCTAACCTGGCCTTGAATGCCTCCAGGGATGGGGCACCACAGCTTCTCTGGGCAGCCTGTGCCAGTGCCTCATTGCCCTCTGAGTAATGATGGATCTGGAAAATAACGCTGATATAACAGTCTGTGGTTGAGATCCTAGTTACAGCTGAAATGCTAATGGATGTCAGCAATTGCCCTGAAAATAATGTGAACAATACAGGTTGTTTCTATGCTGGATGGGAATGAATCCACTGGAGTTTGCTTGGCCACAAGGCCAGACCCCCATACTTTTCATTGAAGTCAGAGTGAAGAAGACCTTTTAGAAATAACTTCTGCCATTCTTCAGACAACAGTGCTTGTGGACCCACAGTCCCCTCTGTGGAGAAGCTAAAATGTTTTTTTTTATCCTTGCCACTTGAATGGTATATCTTGCTGTGGAGTTGAATTTTGCTCCCTTGACTTTACGGGTACTTGATATTAATATGCTTCTGTCAGCAAGAAGAAAAACCCCTCTCTAGCTGCCCTCCCTATAGTTATTTTTTCAATACAGCAGTATTTGCAGGAAACAAATTGATAGGCAGTTTTACAAATGGTATCTAGTAATTTCTATCACCAATCATATTTGGGACTTTCAGATGAGTGAAATATTTGTTCAGTCATCCCGACTTCTATGTTACACTGTTCCACTCTGCAAATCTGGTCAATAGCTTTAGGAAAAAAGAACTAAAAGCTAGAGAAATGTGGGCATCATCCTGTCAATATAGGATTTCCTTCATTTTTTTTTTTCCCCCCTACTCAGTACTTAGACTTCAAATTTCAGGTATTGGAAAATGCACCTCATGATGAAGTGCATGCTGAAGAAGCATCAAGCAGAAATTTTGAAAAGCACAACAAAATAAGGTGAAAGAAAAGATTAAAAATGAAGCCTAGGTGGGGAGGAATAATCAGTAAGTAGTTACAAATACTCTGCCTAATAGTCAGGTTAACACTCCCTAGTGCTTTTATACACTATATGCTTGGGACTTAAAGATAAGGCAGAAATAACATACATTTCATTTATTGAAGCTATTTCTAAAAGGCAGTCAAAATGTCTTTGGAAATTTTAATCCATTTACATTATATGATGGTCTCGTGAACTCTTTGATTAAAAGAATGATCCTATCAACTTCAGTTGGCTGTACATCAAGTCATATATCCCTATTGTATGCTTCTGTATTTACCAGAGAGATGGCCTTCAAATCTTTCTGTACAGATTTTTAAGTCAAATGCAATATCCAGTAATGTTTTCTTTTAATGATAGCTTATGTTAAGAGAAGGCAGTGTCAGCTTTTATAACCAGAGAGATTCAAGTACAAGGTTTGGTTCTGTTTACTGAAGAGGACTAAGAGGATGGAGATTTCCATCCCAGATGGCCATTACAGTGTTTTTTTAAAATAAAGTCTTTTTTTAAAATAAAGTCTCTCTTCCTAATTTTGTCTAAACATTATATAAAATTATACTGATAACAACAACAAAAACCTCTGATGAAATCATATCATAAATCTGGAAATGTCCTATGCTGAAAAGCACAAGCAGAATAATGCAGAATAGTATTTAGAAACAGGTTTTCCAAAATTATATTCTCTCACAGAATAACAAGGTGATAAAATCAGTACTGGCACACAGACAACTTCTCACCAGTATTCTTGTTCTGCCCTCTTGTAATCCTCAAACAGTGCAGTATTTATAACTCAACTCAACCTTACCCCTCACTAGTTTAAGCTTTTTTCTTTTCTCCTCTTTTTCCTTTTATTCCTTTTTCACCAAAAAAAAAAAAAAAAAAAACCCCAAAAAAAAAAAACAAAAAAAAAACAAAACTGAAAATCTCCAGGTTTTTAATAGTCCATTTTTAATACTTAAAGGAGAAAGCACAGACAGAAGTCATTTACCACGTGTCAGTGATGGTTACTCCTTGAAAACACCTGGTGCTATCTAAGATGCCCCGGTATATTTAACTAGTTCTCCACCTGAGGTACTATGTAACAGTTTCCATTCCTGTACAAATACCTCAAACATTCGAGACCCTAGAGGCCTGTGGTTATGTACCTGAATTTTTCTTTTTTTTTTTTTTTGTCTTTCGTCCAGTGGGACTAGGGGATTTTCTATAGTGCTATGCTTATTCCCTAGAAAAGTAGTTGTCTAATTCTGGAGGTGTTCCGTTGTTTAATATTGCTGTGTTTCTTGGAAAATAGTTGCAATCTGTTTGCAAGTTTCACTCCAAACTCCTATTGCTTAAGCCTAAGGAGAATCACCAACAACTGTATTAGTGTAAGCATTGCTACTTGTGTGAGTGTGCCTTTAGAGACTATTGTCACGAATCTACAGGGTGGTGAGATGCTTTCTGACTGAAAGCTATTTCCCATCTCATCATTATCTGTGACATCCATGGAAATAAATAAAGTAAGAGATTTCTGAGGATAAATCCATAGTAGCTACTCAGATGTTTAAATTCACTGAAGAACTGAATGTCCAAACAAAACAGAGGTGAACAGCATTGTTAAAAAGCTACAGGTTTGAGCTTAAAAGTTTTCAAATTCAAGCTTAAGTGTTGAGATTCTGTACTTCACAATGTTGACAGTGCCAAGGACCAATGTTTCAGAGCACTGTGATGTTTTTGAAAAAACAAAAAAAGCTTAGTTCAGCTTTGGAGTCAGCATTGGCCTGACCATCCTGGTTCATGCTAGACATTTTATGATCTGCTTGATGGTTTGTCTTCAGTTTCTGCTCAGTTACCGAATGCTGGCATTGCTGGTGTCAGCACATCAAGTCAATAGTAGACTTTCCAGACACCAGGCTGCAGAGTTTCAAAGCACTGTCCAGAATATTGGAGGCATTTCCCATTGCTCTGGTCATCATGACAATAAGTACCTGATCCAAGAGCAAGAAAGCCATATCTTAGAAGAGATCTCAGTTGGGAGTTCAGCAGAATCTAGACACTTCATTCACAAACACTTATGAAGAATAATTAATCAGATGTCAGCTAACTTAGAAGGCACGTCTGAATTTACTCTCTTTCCCAGTTGCATGATTCCTGGTGTCTACACATCCCAGTTGCTTTATGAAGCAGCTTCTCTGTTCATGTACACACTAAACTAGGATCTACAAAGTAGGAGTTATTTCATATAGATGATCTGAGGAGAACAACCTCAGGTTATTTTTTCTCAGAAGACATGCACTCTGATAAAGAATTAGTGTTTACTTCCATTTAAACTCTCCTCCTTTATATAATTAGAAGTTCAGTGTCTGGAGCAGCTGTCAGTGATGTTGCTGAATCTCTTCTCACCTTTGACAGCTTTGATCCTCTGTTTCTGTCCAAGGAGTGCATATGCCTCAGCAGATAAGGTAAAGAAGGTAAAGAGGCACCTTGAAAGGAGATATCGTTGTCTAGGTTGAACTCAGGAAGGCCATTATAATTCCCAGTAAAGACAAATTCCATTCAATGGAAGGAGGTAGATGCTTAAACTTACAAGCACTCAACCACAGCATGGCTCTGCCTGAAGACAGAGACAGTAGAGATTTAAACAGGCTAATAAGGTGAGGCTGTTCCTGCAATCCATTTAGAAGAAGGTTCTGGTCAAGATAGTCCATTTTAGATTTTTGTTTTCATACCTGTGTAACCGATGACTGACTAGAAACAGCAAACTTTGTGAGAAGGAAATGATACACGTTCTAAAGAAAGTTAATTCCAGCCATTTTAAGATACCGTGCATTAATTTTTCATGTATTTATTTTTGGAGAGAGAGAAGGTAGGAGGAAGAGGTTCTTGTTCCAATTTTATGTCCTGTTATTTGGCAACAGCAGGTTGAACTAAGGAGGAGAACTAAGTACTGTGATATTTTCAGAGCCTTTCACAGGGATGTAGGAATGTGCATAAGCAAGAACTCAAGTAAACAGTATGGTTAATACCTTATTTTGCTGTAAGGAATGTCTATGCAGAAATATAATAAAGAAATAAGAGACTCCTTCATGCTTCAGGGATCTGCTCCCTCCATGTCATTTCTCAGTGCTTTTCGTGTGTGTTTTCCCTGTGGATAGATACTAGGGGACTAAAGAAAGTTGACCTACATGTGCTTTTCTTCCTCAGAAACATTGTGTTTCTGTACAGGGTACTGACGATGAAAATACATGTGCTCTAAGAGTTAAAGTAGGCCCAAAAACTAACCACAAGTATCCAAGGGGAAAGAAGAGGTAGAAATAATTTTTTTTTTTGTGAAATGTCTCAGTACCAGATTTTCAGTTTTGAAACCTCTGTTTTTGAAATCTTTCCAGTGACTTTTGCCAGTAGGGTAAAGAGAGAGGCTAATGGCTAATATGTAACCTCTTCTTTGAGCAGCATAATTTGATGTCTCATCTGTCTGATGTCTGCTCTGTACCTATCTCTGCTTGTATTTTCGGCTCTTTTTCCCTTACAGTACTAAAATGATGATTGTAACTCATGTATGTAGCGGAAGGGCAATGCATCAGCACACAATACACAACTAGTATTTAATGGATTTTCGGGTATATAGTTTCACTCTTAAGCTCACTGTCAGGAAAGTAATATATGAATTTGCTCTGAAAATGTAATGCAGAAGTTATGTGAGTGATTTGGTCAGACTCAGTTCACCTACCAAGTTGATGATCAGTTCTGCCTGTTAATTGACATTTGTGGACATACATGTTTATAGCTGTAGATAATTTTCCAGCAGTGGTTTTTTTTTATGACTTTCTCATTTCCATCTGAAGATTTGTGCCTGCACAGCAGGTAGATTTCTAATCTGCTCTTTAGTATTTTATTAGTTAGGTGAAAAAATGACTCATAAAAAGAGTATTTTCTAAGTAACAAATTATTTATTCTGTTCACACTGTGAGATTGCTCAATGTAAAACAAGAGAGACTACCAAATGACTGAAAAAATACAGCACAGTGATACAAAAGTTGAATATGTAAACTGTTTTATAGATACAAAGCAGTATCAAAATACAGTTTAACAGAGCCAGTGGTTTATTTTGCAGCACGCTCTTTCTGACAAGGCCAAGGTGAAAACATTCGATCCGAAGACAACCTGTTTGCAAGAATGTCTGATCACCACTTTTCAGGAAGCTTACTTTGTTTCAGAAAGTTTTGAAGAAGCCAAAGAAAAGATGAGGTAAACTATTTCCCTTGACTGTAAAATCTAATTTCTCTTTTTCAGTGGTAGACAAAAAAGAGGTGTTAATTTTCTTTTTTTTTTCAGGGACTTTGCTAAATCGATCAATCGTCCCTTCTCTGTGTATTTCAATCCATATACACAAAGCATTGAGATTCTGAAGGATACCAGGAGTATAGAAAATGTCGTCCAGGACCTCCGCAGTGATCTAAACACTGTATGTGATGCATTAAGCAAAATGAACAGATATTTAGGGATTTGATATATGTCCCACTGTGATTTGTTGTCAGCTGCTTATTCTGTAGCTGTTCTAGTGACATCACATGACATGGCTAACTTTTAAAACTCATGAGTTTGCTCTTCTGAGCTTGGCCTGTGGCTTGTGTCATTGTGTAGCTTTGTCTAATTGTTAAGTGCAGACAAAACAAGGCAATGCTAATTCGTAAATTCTCTATGGAGTGTGGCAGCATATAACCAGCAATTCCTCAACACAATGTTGTGTACAAGTATACCAGTAAAAGCTTGCCTAGCAATGAGTTTGTTTCTTTAAGATTGGTGTTAAGAATGGTGTTCCTGATTTCTTTAAGTCTGACATTATTTCTGTGTAATCCCTTTCCAACTGTCAGAATCCAGAAAAAAAGTATGTGCAACATTTTCCATTTTCCTTGTAAGAGAATCTGTATTTGGTGGTGATGACAGTGTTTTGCCCATATATTTGTAACAGAACTGAGTGTCTCTTGTGACTGAACAATACAGTTTACATGTATACCAATGCAGAGATCAGGAAGACTACGTATCGGTACTAAAAGGTCTGTGAGGATTATGAAGAAACACTACTGACAAATGTTCAATGTGGCTAAGTAATTGCAAAACAACAGGAGTAATAATAATAAAACCTCTGACAATTCATGCATAGAGGTAGTGATAGTTCCATACATGTATTGTCTGTGACAATCCTGATCATACTTCCACTGCAGGAAGTATGGTGTTTATCTGGAAACAAGAGTGGAAGCACCTTTGTTAATTCCAGGTTGTTAGATGTGAATATAAAGCCATTCTACATCACTCTGTGCCTTCTGCATTCCCTCATTCTTTGAACATAGTCCCTTGCATTTCATGCATAATTTGCCTTTCCTTCTTATGCCACATTCAACCTTGACATGGTGTGCATGAGTGAGTCTACATCGTATCAGTATCAGTAGATATGAAAAGGTGAATATGGAAGTTGTTATTTAATTATAGCCAGGACAATTATCAGTTAGTAGATTACTTGTGGGGTGCTTAAATCATACCGACACCTAAGCTGCCTAGCTTGTACCAGATGGATGCAGGTAATGCCTGACTTAATGAACTCTGTGTTAGCAAGATCTGACAGAAGTACAAGCTCTGTCTGGGGAGCAGTGTGGAAATATTTGAGCCGGCTCTTATCTGGAAGCAATAATTATGCATGTCTTTCCTTTATCTGAGTTATTCTGTTCTCCTATTAGCCAGAATAATGGAGAGTTGACCATATTGTATGGACCTCTCGTAATGGAAACTGCGTGGATCTTATGCAGATCATGTCAGTACAGGTGAAAGTTCATGGCTTCTCTACTTACGTGGAAAATAGATATCTACTGAACCTGCTCTCTCAACTGAGAGACTCATGCAGATACTCTTTAAGTGTCGCTAGCAATTTCAGCATGAAGAGAGCACCACTTGATAGTATCAGCACATCCTTAAATAAGAGGCAATCTATAATTTTCATAGGGAAATCTGCCACCTCCTCAAAGATAACTACAAGATAACAGAAAGTGCTCTATTCTCTGGATGGTCCCTGCTGCATTCTAATGCTGCTGTTAATAGGGTGTGGAAAAATCTAGTTTTAGATCTAACCGTGACTGCCACTGGTATAAATGAAGAGCTGTTGAATTATCCCATGGGGTCAGCATGCTGGAGGAGTTTTTTAACTTCCTGACATTAGTGCTGACTCCATTAACTAGCACTTATCGTAGAGGAGTCACCAGCAGGCTTGGCATAGAAGTTTCTTCTTCTTTCTTTGGATGGAATCTGATGAACCCCTTGCAGCCCTTTTTGGAGAAAATGGACTGAACTGATATTTACTTTAAATGATCTGGAAAATCATTGCACAAGGAATGAAAGTTCTTAGTTCAAGACCTGACAAAGTATTGTTGCTTGCTTAAGTGAAATAAAGGCACAATGAGTTAAGAGATAAAGAGTTTGCAAAATTATTGAGTTTTTCCTTTGAATCAAAATTATACAGGAAAGCGTTAAATACTTACAGTATCTGGATTTATTCTTGACTTGTCTGAACTGCCTAAAATAAGGATTGCACAGAAGTAAAACAACAGAAGCATATCTTTGTTTTGTTTTGTACTGTTAACAAGTAAATCTTATTATGGATTAGGGAGAAACCCTTGAAATCCAATAGTCATTTTAGGACTAATGATGGCACGGAAACTGTCTGCAATGAAGATATAATGTCAATGAAACAGAACATTGTCAAAGGATAATGGGCTCCTGCTGCTAGATATATGCTTAATCCAATGATTTTATTTCTATTATACAACGTGATTAAAAATAAATTAAATATAATGAGCTGAGGAATAATAGTGATTTAGAGAGACAATTGCTCATTGTTCTTACATGGGAAAGCTGTGTTCTTACAGGCTACAGGGCAAACTTGCTTTGGGCTTCAGCCAGTCAGCAGTCGTGAATTGGAAAGAAGGCTTTAAAAAGTGCACTATTGCACTTTTATGAATCAAATAGTTCCAGCTTAGCTGACATCCTTCTTTGCAGTTTTTATTAGCAAATTAAGATCAGCCATGCAGCAATCTCCTTGGATGACAAGCTCATTTAGGCATAATGAGGGAATTATTGACAGTTATCAAATTACACTAACGTTTCATTTAAAATAGACCATATTTATCTAAGGTGCTTGTTTAACTTTAGTGAGCTGGACTCTGGAAATTGGACTTCTTCTTAGGCTCATTTATTTCCTGTGTAATTCTGAACTAATGCTTTATGGGTCCAAGATATATGTTCTTGCTTTGCCTGCGTAGAGTAAATGGGCCTGAGCTTAATGAATGTAAAGCATTGCAGTGTTTACTACCATGCAAAGTCTAAAATGAAAAGCAGCACTCTGAGACATTGCAGCAAATACAAATACCAAGTTTCATTTGCAAGCCAAGACATGGTTCATGCGTTTCATTTCATTTATTTGGTGGAGGGAATGGAGTGGGAAAGGTGTTAACACAATATATTGTGTTTTCTGTTGTGTTTTTCTCTCTATACTTCAAGATCTGTTTAGAAGCCTGCTTTAAGTTTAGGCCTTCGGTACACTTTCATGACATAGAATGTCCTCATTTCTTCTTGTAATGATTTCCTAAAGTCATAGAGAAAACTCCAGAAACATACTGTACTGAAATGTGTATTTAATGTCACTCTGTAATGGATTACAGAAGATTTCACATCTTTGAGAGGACAGCCTGACTCTGTGAGCCAAAACTGGTGAAGGCTTTCACCTACAGGCTACTGGTACAAATTCAGCCCAGTCAGCAGCTTCTGAGAGCTATCACCACCAGCAGCAGCCTGGTGTCTGTGTGATGAGCTTGGAAGCTAAGATAGTTTCGCTTTGAGTAGAGGAGACTGAGGGGAGACATGATCACCTTTTTCAAACGCATAGGAGTAGCTGCAAAAATAAAAGGGAAAAACTTCTCTAGCCTGTAGAACTAATGGGCTTAAATTGCAGGACAGGAGCATTAAGTTCTTTAATGGCGAGGGCAGTGGAACCTGGAGGACAGATTGCCTAGGGAGACAGCAGGACACCTGTCATTTTTTAAAGAGAACGGTTTAGACAACTTTCTCTCAGGACTGCTATTGGCACAGCTGGTCCTGCTTTGAGATCAGGGAACAAGCTGCATGGCGTCTTGAAGTCCCTTACAGCAGCTGCCTGGAAGAGGGTTCAGGCTGCTCATTGAAAGGCTCCACATGACTCTCAACAGCAGTAATGGTCGTAAACCATCACTGTGGAGCCTCTCAGCAGCATTTGGACCCCTGCATGTTCCTTCCATCTTAGATCGACTCTGAAGTGGTTCTTTGTCCTTCCATCTTCCCTCAGGGAACAAATAGGATCCATAATCTGAGTGAAGTCTCCAGTGGTGACCGTGCTGCTGAATTTTAGTTCATAGGCCACTTGAGAGAGCCCTGTGAGCGAGTTGCCTGCCTCTTATGGCTACCTAGAGGCAGAAGACAGATTGTCAGCAACCACCATTTGCCCTTTTTGTGAGCAAGGTTTAAAACTGCTCAATATTATAAGCAAAAAAAAAGAGAAATGCCTATTTCACCCTAGCTCTGCCTGTGTTTGGGCTGTCAGGAAGACTGTGCCCACAGATTTCTGAGGAAAAAGAGCCCACTGGTGTGGTCCATCAGGGAGCTTTGGTTCAATCCCCTAATGTAGCTGACTGGGGAAGCTGGGGCCCGCTGCTGCTCACCCAGTGGCATTTTAAGGACTGGGTAAGGGTGGGTGCAGTGCTCTTTCATTAAGGAAATCAGCATTCTGCGCCAATCTGGTGACTTACATTCTTGTTTCAGCAGGATGGTCTGTGCCTTTTTAGAAATATGGCAGGTTCCCTTCTATCTCATTAAGAGCCATTATCATATTTTCTAATAATTTGAAAAAAGAATGATTCCAGTATTGCTGCATAATGGCAGTATTTTTTTGTATCAATGCCACTTAATCTCTGGAGATTTTTCATAGACAATGTGATGTCCGTTCAGAACATCTTGCAACAATGAAGTTTACTTTTAAAAGCTCCTTTAACACTTTACAATAGGAATTCATGTTTTTATGCCAACAGTTGAGATGTTAGCATGAACTAAAAAATAGGTGCTGGCAACTTATTGGGATTTTGGCTCAGGGTGGACTGTTCAGGTGGAGTAAATGTGAAATGGGTTATGTAGTCACATGCTTTAAAATGCAGGTGGGTAATGAGTATTTTGATGGACTTCTTTGTAAAGAAGTCATAAATTTCAAATGTCCAGAAAGATAATAGAGAAGAAGCTGCTGTTATACTCCACCTTTGGAGGAAAAGAGTTTGCAAAGCAGCAGGAGGTAGATTTCAGTCCTTGTTAAACTGACACATGGCCTGGAATATGAACTGCATGACACCTACCTTGCCAGCTTTTACGTGGCATCCAGTGTGAATACAATTCTGATAACAAAATAACAGAGCAACAATGAAGCACTTCAGAGCCAAACAGCCTGGCTACCCCGTAGGAGACAAAGTGGGTGATTTGAGACCAGCGTGGCACAAATCAAATCACTTTTATTTCCTATGAAATCAATTCTGTTTTCTGTTTCTTTTACAAAACACCTTCTGAATTGTGTTGCCATTTTATTTTTCCATGAGGATTCTAAAGAGATGTAAAAATTATGGAATAGCTGATGTGGCCATCCTGCCTTTTCTTTGGTGCCACCAAACTCTGTACTGACTTTTGCCATTTTTCAAGGAAGTAGAGTAATGCTGAAGACGTGATGCTGTTGTTTCTCAGGAGTTGACAACTGATGGGTACACCTAAATATTACCCTCCTTCACTATCCCTCCCTGTTGGGATTGCTGACGTCAGAGATGCTAACAAGACCAGTCAACGGTAATTGAGTTTGAGGCTATGCACACAGTGGACTTGCTACTCTAGAAGAATTTGCTGGGAGGCTCAGTTTGGTTGAATTCCCTTTTGCTGATTACTCTTGATAGATGATCGTGAGTAAAGTTACGAAAAAGCAGGCGTCTCACATCAGACAGGGATCAGGGAGTCAAAAATCTCCACTGCTGCAAAAACAGCACATGTTCCAAGAGGCGTCGTGCTGCCAGTGCCCGTCAGTTT